GGCTCTTTATGTCTTAAAGGTTGCAGACCCCTGGCCTTGATGAACAGTAAAGGGGAAAGAGGGCACCCTCCTCTCTCCTTTGGAATGGTTTCTAAGCATTTTGAATGTGATATAATATATAAACAGCACTACAACACTATTAAGTATGTGATCTATATTGTTGATAAACAATTATTTTGTAGAAATTGTTAGATGCACTACCAGAATTACATTGGCCATACATGGATCAAAATTTGGCCCGTTTAGCAAGAATCAGACACATTTTGATCCACGTATGGCTGTTCCCATTTATGAAAGGTCAATCTATCAATCGACTTCTCCTGAATGATACTGTTGGAAAATTTCAGTTCGATTAGCACCACAGCCAACAGGCTGATCAGTATATTCTGACATTGGGGAGGTGGGGGAGTCTTCCTGCTGTCGGAATACAAAGACATAGCGGGGAGGATTCCAGCATCCACACTGAATGTGTAAATAGGTAAATTGTGTCAGGTTTTTTTTTTTGTTCAGCTGGCTGGTTGAACAAAGAAAAACTGACCCGTGCACAGGCAGTTTTAGATAGACTTCACTGACAGATTAAAGATGAACTCCAGCTAGCACTTTTTAAGCAGCTACATAAGTTTTTTCCCCTTTTTTGAATAAAAGTACATAGATGATGTGTATGAATATGAGTTAGGGACCTTAGATTGTACCCCCTTGAGGGCTAGGGACTGATGTGAATGTACAATATATATGTAATCACTGTATAAATTGACAGCGCTATATAAGTACCTGAAATAAATAAATGATTAAAAGCCCACCATTATGAGCACCCTTGTCAGTGGTAAATTCTTTGTCTCAATGCTGACTGCTACATCTGCAGGACAGCTTGTTCTGTTGATAAATAACAGAGTTACTGGCAGGCTCACCAGGAGAAAAAGCCTAAAAATAAAAATACAACCACAACATCTAAGAAATGGTAAGCTGCAATTTAATACGTTTTTGGGGGGTTTATTATCGCTTTAAGTAATAAAAGTCAGTCACAACGGCTTCCTAAATCCTGGCTGAGATTGCTTTGAGTGAGAGATTATCTGTTAAATGGAGATGCCCTTGAAATCAAAGCACAAAAGTCATTACACTACCTAAGCTGCCAGTAAACTCTACTGCAAAAAGAATGTAAACTCTGAATGAAATTCTGCCACTGTGAGAATGTAGCTACATAAGCTACAGGAGGTGGACATTTTATCTTATATTTATCAGGAAGGGAATAGATGAGTCTAAAGTAGTGGTCATTAAACTGTGGCCAGGGTGCAGGGTATGGCTCTTTGCTTTTCTTTCCCTGGCCTCTGAACCATTATTTCTGTCACTGATACATGGTACTGTTCCCCCCCACGGACACCAACTGTGGGGCACTATTCCTCACACACCAACAATAGGGCACTATTCCGTCCACTGACACCAACAATGGGGCACTATTAATAATTGAGATTCTAAAACCTAGCCCAAAAGGAGCAATCCATATGCAAGTACGTAGCTTATATAACTCTCATTTTATTGATGTGTACATACGGTGTCTCCAACACCAGAAGCCATCCTAGTAATGTTCAAAGGGAAAGTTTCATCAGTTTAAAGCCATAAAATAGTGAATGATGGTTATTATGATTTACTGTGCTTTGTACATTTTGTTTGACTTATTAATTAGTACGTTGCCATTTATGCTGAAACATACACTCACCGGCCACGTTGGTAGGTACACCTTGTTAGTGTCAAGAAAATATCCCCTACACCATTACACCACCACCAACAGCCTGAAACATTGATAAAAGGCAGGATGGATCCATTCTTTCATGTTTATGCCAAATTCTGACCCTACCATCTGAAAGTCTGCCCATTCTCCTCTGACCTGACCACTCACTAGATATTTTCTCTTTTTTGGACTATTCTCTGTAAACTCTAGAGATTGCTGTGTGAAAATCCCTGTAGATCAGCAGTTTTTGAAATACTCATACCAGGATACTTCCAAGACCACAGAGACCTCCTCAGCTATCTCTGAAACTACTCAGACTTCCAAAGCTGAAGGGGGGAATGGCCTTACCCAACATGAACCTGTATCACAGTGCTTGTAATTTGACTAGAAATCTGGATTGGTGCCAGCATGGCACTTTGAAGCAATGGGTATAGTTGTAACAGGCTTTATCGGGGGGTACTGTTGAATTCGATGCCTTGGTGCCATGCAAATCTGGCTGCTACAGCCCTGGCACATCCCACTGTGGGAGAGATGTGGCAGGTTTGCTGTAAACATTTTAAGACCTCATCGATATCACCGATACCCTCCCCTCTGACCCCAATAGTGGGGAACCTGGCCTTCAGCCCGGGTCTGCAGGACCCGAGATTCGAAAAACACTAAAATCCCTTGGTCTCTTCCAGGCCTGTCATTTCATATCGCATAGCCAATGGCTCTCCAGGAGACAAATTATGGAAACACCAATCTTTGTGTAGTTGCCTTTCTGGCACAGGGTCCAATTGTCACATTTCCTCTGTGCCTATCCGAGGCTACAGCTTTTAATCGTGACCTTACCCCATTTGAAAACTCTGTGTTTAGTAGATTCCCTGATCTGTCATGTGATTTCACATTCCTACCAATTACTGGTCTCCCCTCCCCATCATACAAACTGTCTTACATTGCCAAATGGTAACAAGATTTACGGTTGACTTTTACTGATTCACGTATAAGGCTTAAGTCTGTTCTAAATACCAGGAATCTGGCTTTAAACTGTTGACAAACTGGTATTACACACCCACCAGATTACACAAGATGTTCCCTCAATGCGCTAATTTACCCTGGCGCTGTGAAGAGGAAACTGGCTCCCTACTTCACATTTTGTGGTCATGCAGCCTGCTGCAGACTTTCTGGAATGGTGTGCATCAAATATCTCAGAGATTTACAGACCATGCGCTGCCCTGGGAACCTACTGCATCATCACGATTATCCTGACAAGTCCTATAGGTACTCCATTCTGCCTTTACTGCTTATAGTAGCGAAGAGTTGAATCCCCCTCTTCTGGAAACAAACAAGCACCAACCATTTTCATCTGGTTGGGAAAGGTTATGGACATCAATGAGATGGAGGGCATGACGGCTATGGAAAGAGGCACTCACACAAAATTCCTTAAGAAATGGCACTACTGGCATGGATTTCTCTACCGGAGGAATATAGTGCTCTTCTGGTGTAGCTCGTCGGATTTCCCGATTGATTGATTGATTGGTAAAGCTCTGTGGTGACTGGAGGGGGAATGGCATTGAATAGGATTCCCCTATTTTGCTCTCCACCCCCCTTTTTTTTTTTCCTTCTTTACCCTCTCTCCTTCTTCTCTTCACCTACTTTTTCTTCTGACTGCTGCTTACTGATGGAAAAAAAAAAATCTAAAAGGTGCAGCATGAGGGACGGAGACTTTTCCTACCCTGAGATGTCAGCACTATGCAGACGGGTGTCTTTCGTATTTACGGAGTTGGACCTGTGTGCCCAACTACTTAGGGAAGGTATGGGTTGTTGAATGACATTGTCTGTTTCTTGTGTACTATGTTGATCACGTGTATGGGTCTTTGGAACTGTAAAATATACTTTTTATCTTTTGGTCTCTGTATTGTTGTCATGTGCTGTTACTAAAATAAGGAATTAAAAAAAGAAATAATCAGACCAGCCCGTCTGGCAACAACAACTGTGCCATGCTCAAAGTCACTGAAATCCCCTTTCTTCCCCATTCTAAAGCTCGGTTTGAAATTCAGCAAGTTGTCTTAACCACGTCTAGATGCCTAAATGCATTGAGTTGCTGCCATGTGATTAGCTGATTAGCAATGCATGCTACCAAGAAATTGAACAGGTGTACCTAATAAAGTGGCTGGTCAATGTATAGTGAGAGGATTTGCCCTTTTAGACAGTTTTCATAGAAAAGCTTCCTCCTTTAGAATATTTACCCCCACCTCTTCTTTTTTCTGGTGTAACCTTGGTTTTCCCATTACTTTATTTTACATTCTGTGACAATGATTTCCAATAAATATTCAAGAGGGGGAACAGAATAAATGTTCTGTGTACCTAGCAGGAACACAGACAGCATTAAATCTTAACACAAGTACAAACAAGGTACTGTATACAGATATTCAGTGGGTCACTGAAAGTATCACTGGGTGCACTGGCTGTGGTTCAGTAGCACTCCACAAAATGGGGACACTCCTCAGAAATTGGAGAAGAACCCAGAGTTGATAATCCATGCATGTTTGATCCAATGATAGCAGCAAACAAATGTCCATGAGTCCAAAGTTTTTAACAATATAATTGATTCATAGCAAAAAAAAAAGTAAATATGTTTCAGGGGCCAAACAGACTCCTCCTTTATCAGGGCTTAGTCATTTTGACTGTGCTTAAATGGACCAAGCAAAGACCAAATAAATCTGTGATTTACTGCTTGGAACTGTTTCAGAAGGCTAGGTTAAGGCAATGTTAGGCCTGTTTCACACGGGCTTCAGCTTGTAAAAGAGCAGTGTGAACAGCATGTTTTGACAAAGCATTTGCAGAGCTTTTAGCAAATTTTGTTGATGTTTTTAAAGTACCATTCAATTCCAGTTTGTAAATGTTGAAAACAGATCCTAATGAGAGTGTTGATTGCCACTCTAAGCAACCTGCTAGCAGGCTTCAGCAGGATTCCAACAAGCTTCAGTAAGCGCTGAAGCCTGCTATCAGCTTGTTTATTAAAAAGTAAAAAGTTTTTTAAAAGCTTGAACAAAGCTTGCTGTTCACACTGCTCTTAAACAAGCTGAAGCCCATGTGAAACAGGCCTTAATGAGTACTTAGCAGAGACACAGTCTAGTCCTTCCCTCATCAAAACATTTTGGCTATATATACACTTTAATAAAATCTTACACATTTAGTATTTAGGTGCTCATTTCACTTTTGGTGCAATTACTTAAAAAAAATAAAATCCCATGATAATAACTTGCATCCATTTTATTACAGATTGAAATAAATGTGTGAGGAGAATCAAACAATGGTGACAGAATTCCTACTACTGGGATTCCAGAGTCTTCAAAACTTTAGAATTCCCCTTTTTATTTTCATCCTTCTAATTTATATAGTTATACTTATTGGAAATGTTCTCATCGTTATACTGGTGTCATTTGATCGTCGGTTCCAAGTTCCTATGTTTTACTTCCTCAAACATTTGGCACTTGTAGACCTCTTGTTCACAACAAACATTATACCCAACATGTTATATGTCATCCTGATGGCTGGGGCACAAATAACAGTAGATGGATGTGTTTTACAGTATTGTATACATTCTCTGTGTGTTTGTACCCAGTCTATAATTCTTGCTGCTATGTCTCTTGACAGATTCATAGCTATCTGCCACCCTTTACGCTACTCTTCTTTCATGACCCCTAAATTGTGCTTTCATTTGGCTTTCTGGTCCTGGGCAGCTGGCATCTTCTTAAGCCCAAGCGAATTCTATTTAATCTTTACTCTACAGTTCTGCCGGTCTAATATAATTGATCATTTCTTCTGTGACTTAGCACCTTTTCTTAATCTTGCTTCAGCAAACCACGATGAAATTGAAAGGCAAGATTTCATTATTTCTGTCCTTCTTATATTTATACCATTCTTGTTTATCATTTTATCCTATATCTGTATTTTTATCACCATTCTAAAAATGTCAACCTCTGCTGGAAGGAAGAAGGCTTTCTCCACTTGTAGCTCCCATCTCATTACTGTCTGCACTCACTGTGGTATTTTGGTTACTGTGTATATTTTTACAGCAGGAGGTCCATTTCAACCAGAAAATAATTGGCGATCTCTCTTGTACACTATCCTTACTCCTTTCATTAACCCTCTTTTATATAGCATAAGGAACCAAGAATTTAGAAAAGCAACAAGAAGTTTTATTTGTTCAGATAAAGGGAAATGTTCACGTCAGTGATAATTTTATAAACAAATTAAGTAAAGTATTTTACCATGACTTGCATTTTTCATTTTCATAAGAGGAATTAATACAATAACTATGACCATACAGTCACAAACCATGGTGTGCTCCTGGTCATGTTTAGACAGTTTTCAAGTACTAAAGAAATTGATCTCAATGTTAGGAGCACAAGAGAGAAAGAAGCAGGATCTAGAGCTAGAGGTATAGGCTTTGTGTAGGTCCTACATGTCCCTAAACATGGATACCAAAGTAATCACACCAAAATGCACAGTCTAAGTCAGAGTTTCTCAACTAGGGTTCCTCCAGAGGCTACCAGGGGTTCCTTGAATAATGGGCAATTTTTGCCTCTCAGATAAGTTCCCACTTACACCTTTGATCTTTTTAGCTACAGTATCTGTAAGGGGGTAATTCTTCCTAATGACCACAAACGGAAGGAGCATTTTTCCCAGTGATCATCACACTAATGTATCATAAGTTGTAGATATAGTCATTTTTACATTTCAGATAAAGGGATATGTTCATTTTGATGACAAAAGATGATGTAAATGAATATTTTTAAAAAATGAATAAAGTATTTTACCATGGCTTGCAATTTTTATAAGATTAATTAGTACAATAACTATGACCAGGGGTGGACTGACCATTTGGAAACTTGGGCACCGCCCGAGGGCCCGGGGTCAGTAGGGGGCCCAATGAGATGCCCCTGGTACCTTTTTCATAGGCTTTTTTGAGTTTGGGCAAGGACACAGGGGCCCCATGATCCCCTATTGCCCGGGGGCCCCATGAGTTGTCTGTCCGCCCCTGACTATGACTATACAGTCACAATCCGTGGTGTGCTCCTGGTCACATTTGGACATTTTTCAAGTACTAAAGCAATGATTCTCAATGTCAGCACAAGAGATATAGAAACAGGTTCAAGGGCTGAAGGTATAGGCTTTTTATAGGTCCTACATGTCCCAAAAAGTACAGATGGAATCACACCAAGATGCAGAGACTAGGTAGTACTTTGTCTTCAACAAGGACAATTTGAGAGGGAAATGAAAAGCACAATGCGGCTTTTCCAGTTGCTGGCCACTGGGTATGATCTACTGCTGACAGCAACTGGTGGACAGATAAACTATATCAAGCTACTGGCAGATTTGGCAGCCATCAAGTTAAGACCAGGGAGATGTTCTGCACACATATACAGTCATGGCCAAAAATATTGGCACCCCTGTATGTCAAATAATGCACCACTTCACCCCGAAAATTGTTGCAATTACAATGTTTTAGGCATTCTCATGTTTATTTCTTTTGTTTGTATTGATATGACACAAAAAAGTAGAGAAACAAAAAGCCAAATCTGACACATTCCATGCAAAACCCCAAAAATGGATTGGGCAAAATTATTGGCACCTTCTCAAAATAATTGCATTCTACATTTGTGATGATCCTGTAATTTATAATTAAACTCGCCTGTATCAATTAACAGGTGCTGACAATATAGAAATCACACCTGCAGCCAGTTAAAATGGTGAAAAATTGACTTTTTCTTTCATGTATCACTGTGTGCCACATGGAGCATGAAGAAGTGAAAGTGCAGCAAAGAATTGCCTGAGGATTTGAAAGCAAAAATTATGGAAACACATGGACAATCTCAAGGTTGCAAGTCAATCTCTAGAGATCTCTATGTTCCACTGTGCACTACATTGTCAAGAAGTTTACAGAACTGTAACTAATTTCCCTGGATGTAGACGAAAGAGAAAAATTGATGAAAGATTGCAAAGAAGGATTGTTCAAATGGTGGCTAAAGAACCTCGATCAACTTCCAGACAAATTCAAGCTGACCTTCAGGCACAGAGTACAACTGTGTCAGCTTGCACGATACGTTGTCATCTGAATGGAAAGGGACTCTATGCTGGGTGACCCTGGAGGACTTCACTGGTGACACAGAAACAAAAAAGCCAGATTGGACTGTGCCAAAACTTACCTGAGGAAGGCAAAATCCTTTTGGGAGAATGTGCTGTGGACAGACAAAACAAAATTAAAGCTTTTTGATTAAATCCAGAAAAAGCAACGAGGCCTTTAAAGAAACAAATACAGTCCCTACAGTCAAACATGGTGGAGGTTCACTGATGTTTTGGGGTTACTTTGCTGCCTCAGGCACCAGATGTCTTGACCATGTGCATGGCATTATCAAATCTGAAGACTACCAAAGAAATCTGGGGTGTAAAGTAGGGCCCAGTGTTAGAAATGTGGGTATGCATCAGAGGTCATGGATCTTACAGCAGGACATTGACCTAAAGCACATGTCAAAAAGCACCCAGAAATGGTTTTGCACAAAGTGCTGGAGTGTACTGAACTGGGCAGCAATTAGTCCAGATCTCAATCCCATAGAGTACCTATGGAGAGATACCAAAACAGCATTTGGGAAATGGAACCCTTCCAATCTGAAAGACCTGGAGCAGTTAATGAAAGAAGAAGGGTCCAAAATTCCAGTAGAGAGGTGTAAGAAACTCATTGATGGTTACATGAAGTGATTGATTTCATTTATTTTTTCCAAGGGGTGTGCTATCAAATATTAAATTGTGGGTGCCAAAAATTTTCTCCAGTCCATTTTTGGAGTTTTGCGTGGAATGTGTCAGATTTGGCTTTTTGTTTTTTCACTTTTTTGTGTCATACCAATACAAACAAAAGAAATAAGCATGAGAATGCCTAAACATTTATTATTGCAATATTTTTCTGGGCAAAGTGGTGCATTATCTGACAGAAATGCAGGGGTGCCAAGATTTTTGGCCATGACTGTACATACATTTTTATACTGATATTACAGCACAGGTCTAGAAGATGCAGGCTAGGTAACGGAAAGAGGAACAAAAGCCAAAGCATGGATGCAGGATAGGAAGACTAATTTATAATTATATTCCTAGAGTCCTATGTGGAGTCCAATTTGATTCCACAGGGACTACGGGAAAGGATAGTTCCAGCGGAACATCTACGTAATGATCAATTTTTGAATATTTTGAAGAGAGATGCTATACAGCATGGGATTATGAAATTAACAATTACTGAAGAATGATACAATTGCACAAAATGAACGAACAGTTGCAGCTAAAGAAAATTTCAGGAAAGCAATTAAGCGATTTTAGTAAATTGGCCAATCATTCTAAAAGGGAAGTAGAAGTATTTCCAAAGGAGCAGAAAGCAGGGGAAGAAAAATGTTCCAAATAGATCTTTAAACTTTGAGATGGGTCAGATTATCAAGCTAGAGCAGTGTTTCTCAACTCCAGTCCTCATGGCCCCCCAACAGGTCATGTTTTCAGGATTTCCCTCAGATGAAACAGCTGTGGTAATTACTAAGGCAGTGAAACTGATCAAATCACCTGTGCAAAATAATGGAAATCCTGAAAACATGACCTGTTGGGGGTCCATGAGGACTGGAGTTGAGAAACACTGAGCTAGAGGGACATAGCAGGTGGAGCCACTTAAGAGGTAGATAGAGGTGGAGCAGTCAGGATAAAGGGGACCCAAGCCAGGAAAAGAAATCTGTCTCTTTTTTAAGGGATAACCCCAGAGGAAGGGACAGGAATGGACAGGGAGACACAGAAGAAAGATGAGTAGGAAGAGAAAAAGAACAGAAAGAACAGGAAAGAAAATCGAACATGGTGGTCTATGCTTCCCAAAAATTCCACAAAAAATGAACAGTGAAGGTAGAATCCCTGAACATAATCAATTTTGATGGACACACCCCTCACTGACAACCACATTTCTTTATTGAAGAAAGGCTTGGGTAGAAGTTTAGACTGTGCTGCAAAGATGTATACTTGTTTGTGAGACAAGTAAACAGTAAACTTATGTTCAAAAGAAGGAATTCATGCATTCTCAATCTGTGTCACAAATCTCCTGCCTAACCACCTCAAGAAAAGTCTGCAAGTAATGATTTTGACTGAATTCTAGGAAGGACTTGGATTTATTAGCCAGCCCTGAGAGGGGGAATCCAACATATATGAGTGCAACCAAGTGTTCCCTTGGATATATTTCAATTCATCCACTTCCCTAAGGTCCACTAAAAATTTTAAGTTGGACATACCCGACAGACCATCATTTATTATATACAACGCGCTATTTATATATCTGGTGAGTGCGCATTTTATCTACTTTCCTGCACACCTACCGGAGCATTACAGTATACTGGCAATTACAGAGTCACCTGGCGATACCCTTTGATGTTGATTTGAACTTTGATTACATTCATTTGAACTTATTAAGCACCTTCTAGAATTTTATGTTTTAAAACGCACATCTAGTCATTTTTTTTGGAGATATTCATATTTATGTTTATATTACCACTGCACTATTACCTCATTTATTTTCTTAAAGGCATATGGTTTTTTCCTTTTAAGTGCAATAGCTGCTTTTGATCTAGCACTCGCTGAAAACTGTATATACACTGTTATCAGATGTTGGAATAACCCATCCCCACTCTTGTAGCTGAGATTAACAACGGATAAACAAAGGTGTTTGAGATGGGATTGATACCCAAAAAGGAGTGTGAGTATCTGATGATTGAACATTACAATTCCTTGGCCTTCCATGTAATCCCAAAGGTCCATAAAAATACCTGTAAACCACCTGGGGTAGGAGGTCCACTTGAGAATATAGGTAAATATGTGGACAGGCTGCTTAAACACCTGGTCACAAAACGCCTCTCATTTGTTTTGGATACAGGAGACTTACTTCGGTAGTTGTTGGATTTATGTGTCACAGAAAACTGTGTTTTGGCAGGTGTGGATGTGGAGTCTCTTTACATGTTCCGCATGAGATGAGACGGGTACGTGCAGTAGCCAGTGACTTGAACTCGGGCAACCCTTGTCTGGTCCAGATAATTCATTTTTGGTAGAATTATTGAAGTTTATCCTAAATAACAACTTTTTATTTATGATAAAAAATATTATCACCAGATAAGTGGAGTAGCCATGAGCACCCCAATTGCCCCTTCCTATGCCTGCCTCTATTTG